AAGCAGGCCTCTTGTTACTAGCAGGGAGGTGCTCAAAAAGGTTCATCTCAGCCTGGTCCTTAGAAAACTCGAAATAATCTAATAATAGAAGAAATAGTTACAAGAAAACTAAGCAACATAGGCAGAAAGACATAAACCACAACATGTTCCCTTATCTCTTATCGTTTCTCTCTCTACAAGTCTGTAGCCTCTCCACACCAAGACCCAACCTCTATTTAGTTATTTGACGGTCGACTCGCTCAGTGGGACAGTTCGGATAACTCAAACCTTCGGTCCAACCGTGTCACCCAAAATGCTTCAACAATATATGTTAAAGTTGCCAAAACGAGCATAGCTCAGCGATAATTGACGTATACCTTCAACCAAGAGGTTGTGAGTTCGATCCCCCGTTCCCTAAAAAAAAATGTATGTTAAAAGTTAAATGCAAAAACAAAACAGCACAATCCTGTTTCTCGAATCCAGATACATGTCTTGCTCTTGTGTTCATTTTACCCTTAAAATAAAGGTTTATCTTAGGTTTAATCAGACAATTCAGGCAAATCCCAGTAAGTTTCAATATCCAAACACAATAAATACGACCCAACCAAACTCCCAACAATCAATTCAGGGCATAAAAGCTTGAATCAGACCAGAACAACATCAGAACTCCTCACTGAAAGTCATAGTGATTCCACTTTCCAGATTTAAAGGTAAAAAGAATAACTATTCCATAAAATTAAAGCTAAAACGAATATAAACATCGCTGTGTGGGGGAAGGGAAATACAAAGTAGAGAAATAAGTGATTTGGGTTTCACCTCAGAAGAGAACCGAACAAGATGGAAATGAATCGCGCGATGGCTTAGACTCTGCAGGGAAATTGAGACGGTTCTTGGACTCGTTGAGCCGTATATGTAGAAAACCACGGTAATTTTCAGATTTCTCTTATTTTCAACAATATTTTATTTTGGCGGTAAATTTTAAAAATATTTGGGAAAAATAAATAACCAACTGGTTCCTTCGGGTGTAAGTCGGCATTTTTTAATTAAAAAAAAAGAAAGAAAATTATGTTTAAACCAAAGTTCAAAATGTCGATGTAGATGGAAATGTCGAGGTCTCGATTTTACGGACATGCTGTTGTCGATGGATATTTCGAGAAAAATTACGAAGATAATGGATATTGATAGAAATTTTTTAAATTAGTAAATAATACTTTAATTGTAGCTTAATTAGCCTATAACTAATCACTTCTAGCCATCATATCTAACATATAAGTAATATACTTATAAAAATATCGTCACGATAAAAATGTTGAAACAAAATCATGTATAGATATATGAAAACTATTCGAGACAGTTTAATGTTGTTTTTTTATTGATAATTTCTAATCCAATCTAGTAACATAATTGAATAAAATATATGAAATATAGATATATATATAAAGTATGAAATAATTTTTAAAAAATTAGTTTTAGTTTAAAATTTAAATGTTTAATAATAATGAGTTAAATTGAGTTTTTTTTTTATTAATTTGTTTTAAGATTTGGTTAGTTAAATTTAATTTAAAATTTATTTTTCTTTTAAATCAATTACTTGATGATTTTGTTAGATTTTTTAATTAAATTTTGTTTTTTTAAAATCGATTAATTATGTTAGATTTTTTCTAGTTAAATTTAGTTTTAACTTTTTTTATTTGTTTATTTTTTCTTTAATCAAAGATAAGAATCAAACTTTTCTAAAATTTAAATGTTTAATAATAATGAGTTAAATTGATTTTACGTTTATTTGTTTTAAGATTTTGTCAATTAAATTAAATTTAAAATTTGTTTTTCTTTTAAATCAATTACTTATTAAGATTTTGTTAGATTTTTTAGTTAAATTTAATTTAAATTAATTTTTTTATAAATGGATTGTTTATAATCTATTTCTTTAAGATTTTATTAGATTTTTATAGTCAAATTTATTTGACGTTTGTTTTTTTTTTGTTTTTTTCCCTTTTTTGAACCAATATGATAAGAATTTAACTTTAATTTCTTTAAAAGAAAAATAAAAAACTTCCAATGTCGTATAATTTTTTACTATTATTTTCGACTTTTTTGTTTACTCTTAATCGTTTAGGGATTCAATGCAAAAAAAAAGGGGGGGAAATGATTTTCTCCCCCTATATCGATGTCGAGACCATCGACTATCGACGTGTCAAGCGAAATTTTGAACCTTGGTTTAAACCAAAATGTTTAAAAGATTCCTTTCCTGGGATTGTTTTCTAAATAAAAACATCTTTCTTTTTTCTATAAAAGCTTTTGGAGGAATTATTCGAGGTGACCTTAAATAATTATGGTACAATTACAAAATATATATAATATGAATTTCTCGCTTTATTTAAAAAATAGTCTCATCCTTTCAAAAGTTTCAACATTGCCCTATCTTTTTTAAATAGTTCAAAAATATCCTACGAACAAAATTGACATGACAAAATTATAAAGTGCAGAAACTTCTCCCGCAAACTAACCAATATTGACTTAAACCTCCTTTAAAAACAATAACTTCTTTCACATCCCCTCTGTTTTCGCCCTTATAATTTAGGTCGTTTCAGATTTTGCAAGATCAAATTTTCATAATATACATTTCATATTTTTATGGAACATTCATGAAATGTTTAGTATTGAAATTTTGAAAGAATAGAAATATTTTTTAAACAAATTGCAAAGTTAAGAAGTACTTTTAGTAATGATTTTTAGAAAATCAAATATGTTTAGGTAATAATGATAAATATTAAATAAAAAATTAGTTTGAAAACCTTTTTTTTTTTTTTGAAGAAACAGATAAAAGATAAAAAAGAAAGAAAGTGAGAAATCAAACTGAAAGAACTGGTTGCCGAATGCCGAGTTAGAAGGCTGCCTCTGTAAAGCTAAGTAATTAAGCTTCATTGCATTCAGAAATTTCAATGGATTTCAAATCCTAAATTCTCAACTCTGTGCACCCAAGAACTGTTCCATGGCATCGACTCATCGGAGCAACACAATACCAAGTTGGTTTCTCACCCCTCAGGTTAAGAACATGCACGTCAGACAGTTTTACGAGATCCGCATCGAGGCGGACGGGGCGAACTACTCCTCCAATCACATACAATTCGCCTCTAAACCCAATCATCGCCATCCCGATTCTATGGAGAAACTGAGATACCGCCGGAATGACAACCTGTCTGTCTCGTCCATCCTGCTTGAAGATCAATCCTAGGCACATGACATAGAGTGAATCTTGAACGGCAGCCATGGGGCCGGGAAGCCAACCGTAATCCTCAACTCTCCATTTCAGCTCCAAAGTGTCAAAAATTTGTACTGTGGATTGCCCCTTGTACATAATGTGCACTTTTCCTCCTATCACTACTCCAATGCAGGTTGAATCATGGGTTTGAAGTAGATCAGGTAACGGAACCCAAAGATCCTTCTCAGAGTCATATATTTCAGTCTTGGAAGTTGATTTTGATGTGCTGGTGAAGCCGCCTGCAACAATGATCTTCCCTTCCAAAACACAGCAGGCAAACATAGCACGTGGTACGAGCATTGGTGCTCGCATCAACCAGTTTCGTGTTACAGGGTCAAAGGACCATACCTCATTGGTCGATAAGTTGTCGTCATGGTCACCGGTTAATGGATCAATAGCATCGCTACGACCACCGAGAACAAACAGGTATTGAGAAGTGGAGGCAGCCCCAAAATGCGAAAGATGTCTTCGTTTTGAGGGGAGTTCAGGGAGGGTGATCCAAAGATCTCGGAGAGGATCATAAAGCTGCCATGTATTATTTGGGTCATAAGAGCATACACACAGTAAATCCTCAGATGAACCAACCTCTTGTCGAGCTCTAAACAGTTCAGCACTACGAAACGCGGCTTTCCAAGAGCGAGAAACGAGTTCCAATTTGGGGTGGAGGTAATATGGGACACGAGCAAGGCATCTAAGGGCAATTGCATCAGGGAGGCCTTCAATCAGACCAGACATGGTCTTTCTTTTGTACTGATTAGTCACTTCACAGAAAGATGGCTAGCTGAAACATCAAGAAACATATAAAAACTTGAGATAGTTAGAATTAAATCAGCACTTTCCTCCAGTTTCAAAACACAAGAGAATAATTGAAGGAGCTTTAGATTATATAAGATATCGGTATAGAACAAGGGGGCCAGTGAAATTGTTATGCTGGCTCAGACTGTGATTGTGCGTATTTCAGAATGAAAATAAATGAATTAGGAGCACTGCAAAAATTGGTTGAATCTCTAGGAAACAGGCATTTAAAACTGCAAAAAACAAATTTCGCAAGTAGGAAAACTTAATTTGTGTCTCATAAAAGTATCCAAGTTTTGATAGATGAAGCCTCTAGTTGCTTAACAAGTTATTTTAACAAATAAAGTTTCCCAAACATTTTTCTAAGTCTGTGAGAAAAGTCTATTATGAGAATTTAGTCGATAAAAATATAACCACATTTCTACCAAATTTTTTCCACTAAAATATATGTAATGCACCAATTAATATAAGATCATTTTGGCAAAAATCTGCTATTACTTTTCAAGAAACTAAAACAAAAAAGGGTTCAATGTTAACACGAAACAAGCTCATACGAGCGGAAAACATAAATCGTTCATTCAACTCAATGTACACTAGCTGACCTCTATTGTATGAATATCAGAGGTCATCAAACTGAATTTAAACTAACTAAACAGTCTCTAACTAACTCGGATGCATGCAGACTATGGTTAGCTTAACAGCCTGAACTAATACAATTAGTAAATGTCTTCAAGGTGTCACGTAGTCAGAAGGAGATTCGAGCACGACACCGTTGATGAAACAACCCAAAAAAATTGAATTATAACAAGTTATTATATGATTTCTAGTACAACCGAAAAGATATTAAGCACAAGTAAATAACTCTTGGAAGTATCAAATGAGTAGTGTTATATTAGTAACATGTAGGAATAATAAGACCTATTCTTACTTTTGTTGACTTGCATTTCATTACATTGAGTAAAAATTCAAAAAGTAGAGAATCAAGATGAATCACTATCTATTGCTTGCATATCCCTACGTTTCTTCCTCATTTGATCTAATCTTTATCGTCTCTCGAAAGTTTACCTCGTGTTTAATCATACAATTTAGGCAAATTGCAGTACATTTCAATACCCAAACACAAGAAATACAACATAACGAGAAATCCCACAGTCTATTCAGGTCATAAGAGCGTAAATCAAACAAGAACAACATCATGGCCAGTGCAGAGTCAATGCTCAACTGATAATTCCAAAAAATTAAAGCTAAACAGATATATAACATCGTTTTTGCGGGCAAAAACGAAGGCTCGAGAGCTCTAAATTAGATCAATAGTCTCGCCTAAATAAGTGGGGGAAACTTACTAAATAGAGAAGCAGAGTGGTTTCGATTTCGCCTCAAAGCAAAATCAAGAAAACTGAAAGGATTCGCTGGGTTGCTCAGATTTGCGAGTTGCGTGCATGTTTAGATGATGAATTCTCAATGTCTTTCTGTGGGATTGTGTCCAAAATGTGTACCACCAAGAAGATGAGGCCTGAGTTCTTTGCTTGTTCTTGCGGATGGAGAGCTTCACATAATTATCAGCTTTTTTTTTTCTTTGTTTTATTATTCAGACGTCGACTTTTAATAATATTTTATTAGTTGGACTTTTATCTTCCGTTCACGTGATTTTAAATTCACGACGGATTTCAAATAAATTGGATTTTTTCTTTTAAATAATCTTTTTCTTTTTTTTTTACTTATTTTCAAAATAATGTTCAAAAGCATATTAAAAGGAAAATGCAAAATTTGAAACTACTTCTAACAAATAATGTTTTAGAATTCAAGGCACTACTTAGTCAACGTGGCACCATATTTTTTAAAAAAAATAAAATAGACGATCATATAAAAGGATGATCTTTTCAAGAGAGGGACGACGTTAGTTTTAAAAAAAGAAAATAAAATATTAATTATATCGTATTATATATTAACAGATAGCATTTCTTTTCAACGTTAGTCTTTTGCTTAATGGATGGAACACATTTCTTACACCCAGGCTTTCTCTATTTTTATATTAGTCAACTTCTTTCTTCTTATTATTAATATATAAAATAGGAATATTATATTTTTCAATAATAATAATAATAAGTATAAAGTTGATTAACATATGGACAATACTTTTTATAAAAATAATATTTTATATATTATTATTTATTATATAATATCTATATAGTATTTTATAATAAGAATCCAAAATTAGTCTTTCGTGAAGTAGACGTAGATAAAAATGTGAATCCAAAATTAGTCTTTGGTGAAGTAGATGTAGATAAAAATGTAAATAGATTGAGCATAAGAAAGTTAGGTGGTAAGGAAGCTACTGCCCTATTTGTTGGATCGGTATGACAATCTCAGAGGGGTGGATATGATTTAATCACAATTTATAAACTTTTTATTACGGTGAGCCCAATTTAAACAATTATGTAAACTTTTTACAAATAAATAATTTTAACACAAAATTAAACAACAATTTAGAAATAAAAACACCATAATTAATTTCACCACCCAAATATTCAAATATAAATATTGACCATAAACATGAATAACAAATTCAAACAATTGATTTCATGAGTAAAGATAATTAATTGCAAAAATTAAATAGAGTAGGGTTAGAGAAAATGACACAAGAAATTTTATAGTGGTTCGACAACATCGACCTACTCCACTTCCTAAGCTCCTCTTGGGTGTTCCACTAGGAAACTTGACTCTTTTCACGGTAGGAGTCAAACCGATACAAAGACTTTTTTTTCTGTGAGCAAGAAGAAACCCGACCCTTTCCACGGTTCACGATCAAACCGTTACAACTGCTCTTTTTCGGGCTCAAGAGCAACCCTTACAAATGAATAGAAATTTGAAGAATAATCTCACAACCTCTCTAAAAAGAATGGATACACAAATTTTCGCTCACAATTTTGTAAGAAAATTCTTACAAAATATTTAGAGAAGATAAAATTAGAAGCACAAATATCTCTCAAATAAAATATCCCACAACAGCCAAAGCGAGCATAGCTCAGTGGTAATTGACATATACCTCCAACCACAAGGTTGTAAGTTCAAATCCCCTATTAAAACCAGGTGGAAAGGCTAGGTTGGGGAACTCGCCCTCTTATACGTGGAAGAGTATCCTGTGGGGTCGTGCTATTTTTGAGAAAGGTTATTGTTAGCGAGTGGGAAACGACCACAGTGTTACTAAATCTTTTCAGTTAAGAGCGCTTATCATTTGAGTATGCATTTTCAGGAGGATTCGAGGCCCCTGCATCTTCAAACCAAGTTAGTCAAGCAAATCGGTAGAAACGTTCTTGGAAGACTGCGGTGATCCCCAAAGTCAAGATTATGTGCCGGAAATTTGTGAAGGATATCATTCCCATTAAATCCAATCTTCACAAGAAGAGAATTATGACTGATTTGTGTTGTGTGTTTTGCTGGAACTTTGGTGAATCGGCGACTCATATTTTCTGGGGGTGTAAGGTAATTAAAAAACTCTCAGAAGCCTAACTTTGGTCTTTTTAATGTTGTCAGGCGAAATTGGATCATGGAGGATTATTGGACGTGGATTTTAGACAACTCAAGCATAGAAGATTTGGAAGCGGTTCTGCTCGGGTCGTGGGCGATTTGGAATAAAAGGAACAACATCGTGTTCAATGGAGGGATTTACAGTCTGGATGGAAGCTCATCAGTCGGGCGGCCTCAACTGAGTGCTTCGGAATAAATCGGTGGACGGACCAAGTAGCATCAAGGTGCTGGAAGCCATGGCCGTCTTAGAAGGCTACGAGCGGTACAATCTCTAGTGACTTATCCGATTAGAGTGGAAATCAATTCTATGGAAGTGGTGTCGCTATTGCGGGATGAAGACACAGACTTATAAGAGATTTTCTAGGTTGTTCATGAGATGAGAGAGAGCGAAATGTGGGATCTTGCAATCCGTTGGTGGTTTTCGTTTGTTTATTGAAGTTTTATTTTTTCCCTCTTTCTTTTTTTTTTTAAACTGACCCATGCGTCATTGCATTAAATGATTTTTTTTATGTGCTTTTAAGTTACTAACGGTAACTTTTATATATATATATATATATATATATATATATATATCTTTTCCTTTCCCTTCAATTTTTCCATTTTTTTTATTTCCATTTTTTTTCAAGAACAATACAACTTGTCACATATCACTTTTCTATTTGTGCACGTAGGATTTAATTGTCACATTATCCACCTTTGAGAATTTATCCTTTCAATTTCATTAGGCTATAACTTCTTCGTTTGAGCTCCGATTTGGATAATTCAAAATTCGTTGGAATCGTCGTATCGAGCTCTATGCTGCGGACACTTTAAAACACTAAAATTATCAATAAACAAAATATGTATTATCAGTAAATTATATAATATTATTGAAGCTCATAATAAATTTATGTTTTATAACAATAATTCTTACACACCAAAAACAATTAATACTAGGTGTTTTTATTATCATCAAAACATTAATTAATTAAATTAATTAACCGAGATTAAGGGCCAAAAAGCCAACACCAAATATTAAAAAGGAATTTTAGTTGTTAATATATATAACAATATAATTATTTTTTTAATTGCATGCCTACACGGTCGTCGACCATCTTTTTATTTAAAAAAAACAACAAATGTGACATTGCCTTAGCACCACGTTGTATGGTCGTCAACCATAACCATATCCTAAAAATAGCACGGTCGTCCCTTAATGCACTGAATTCCAAAGCATTACTTTTAGAAATAGTTTCAAATTTTGCATTTTTCTTTTAATACGTTTTAAATGAGCATTATTTAAAAACAAATCCAATAAACTTCATATTTGAAATGAATTCCGTGCTTTGTTATCGTATTTAAAATAATTATTTAAGCTCTAAAGTTAATGATTTTATAAAATTTTAAAATAAATTGCCTATTTAAGATGGTCCTGTTTAAATTTTTATTTAGCAAAGTAATATTTAAAATTTGCAATTAGTCCATATTAGCCTACTATACTTTCCTTTTCTCAAAAAAAAAAAAAAGAAGTCTATATACTTTCCATATTGGTCAAACTTAGTTCATGTATTTCAAATTATCATTTTCATCCCTATTCTAAAATTAGTTCATTATGCACTTTTAAAATGTTTGTACTTTAAATTACAATTTTGGTTCGTTCCGGGTGTTCACGAGTTGGATTGGGTCGAGTCAAGAGGGATTTTGGGACTAAATCGAATTTTTAGGTTGGCCATATATATATAGGAACCATCGAGTTTGAATTTGATGGTCAACCCAACCTAATATCTTCGAGTTGGGTTGGGTTGTCGTGTTTTATTTTTTATTTTTATTTTTAATTATCACGATAGCAATAGATAGTTAGGATTAAAACTAAATGGACAGCCGATATTAAGATATGAATAAGATAATATGAAAACCCTAAATGAAAGGTTAAGATTAAAATTAAATGCACAATTGATATTGAAGATAAGTATATTATTATTAATATTATATAATTAAGAAAATAAACATATATGCATAAATTCGGGTTGGGTTGAGTTGACCCGATTTTTTAAAGGTTGAACCCAATACCCAATCCAACCCGATCGGATTGGGAAAATCACAACTCAACCCAACCCGAAACTTCATCTAACCAAACCCAACCTGATCGGGTTTGAGTTGGGTTCGTCAAGTTGTCAGGTTTTTTGAACAACCCATACCTTTTAATTTTATCTAATTTATTTAGATTAATAATTTGCATAACATTTCATTCACTCCATTGTTTGAAATGCAGCATAAACTTGTGTTTGGTGGTTTATATTTGGTTGGGTTAAATTTTTGCAATGAGAGACCAAATTGGTAGTTACTTAAGAGTATATAGATCAAAATAGACGCTTTTAGAGTACAACTTACTAAAATGATAAAAAGAAAAGTTGAAAATACATTACTCAAAACGAACTAAGACCGCACATAAAGGATTACAATGGTATCTAAACCTAGTATATCCTTTTTAATTTGTATCAATCTCCATCAAATATACAAAAAGAAAAAAAAAATAATAATAACAATACAATTAATTTCACATCATTCTTGCTCGACCAAAGTAACGCAATTTAAAACTATTTATTATATTTCAAATTGCAATATTTAAAATAATTTATTGAACTTTATTGATGTGAAATAGAATATTAGTTACGACATGTTGTTCTTTCTATATAAGTCGAAAGTTCAATCTTTCGCCCTCGAATATGTTGTACTAAGAAAGAAAAAATAAAGGTTAGTGTTGTGTTAATATAATCTAAAAATACTAATAATTTATATATTTGTGAAATACAAAGTCAATTTTAATCTATAATATATTTTCAAATAGATCTCTTGAACAACTTATTATATATGAAATTAAAATTTAGAAACATATTAAAGTTAAAAATTATATTTATAATTACTTTAAAGTAATACAAGTTCACATACATATTTAAATTTAAAGTTATCAGTTCACATTAAAGAGAAGATTGGAGTGAGAAATTTTGTTTGATATAGCTAATTTGAATATAGCTAATTCGTAAATGAATGACAACGTGAGCTTAATTTAACGGTATTAGTATCTATCTCCAATGATAAAGTTATAAGGTAGAGTTCAAATTTCTGACCCCACTTGTTGTACTAAAAAAAACCCGTAAACACACGTATTCTTGTATAGGGATGATCAAAATACCCACTAGACCCGATCCCTGTGGGTACCCTATCCGATCGGGTCGGGGATTCCCCGGTTTGATCGGGGATGGGGTCAAATCGGGTATCCCAATCGGGTTCTCGATGGGCATGGGGATCGGTTCCCCTGTCTCGTCCCTAACCCCGCCCCGTTTAATTTTTTATTACTTTTTATATAATAATATTAATATATATTAATTTTATAAATATTTTATAATTTTTTTTTAAAAATTCAAGTTAACACTCCATTTAGCCACTTTTTGTTTTAATAATAACGAAAATTAAATAAAAAAATTTAAATTTAAATTTAAAAATTTAAAAATATATTTGTAATGGGAACCTATCTCGATTGGAAAATCCCACTTCCAAAATTTGGGGACGGAGGCAGAAATAGGGAAAAGGATCCCAACGGAGCAGAGATGGGGATGGCCCCCGACCCCGCCCCGTTGCCATCTCTATTCCTGTCATGGGTTTGAGATTAGTATGGAGGGAAAATATATATATATATTTATAAAAGTTTAAAATAAAAAGATTTTAGTACAAGGAGAAAGTTATTTTTCAATAAAACTTGCCTTCTTAAAAAACCCTACCAAAGCCCACCAGCCCTCTTCTCTATCTTTCAGCCGTTCCCCTTTATCTCTCTCACTCTCACAAACCCGCGACTCTCCTCCGGCGGCGAACGACCCACAACGACGATCGGCGGCGCCTCTGACCTCCATCTTCGGCGACGGACGGCCACGCCGACGCGTTTTCCGAGCGGCGGCAACAGACCCACGACTGCCCTTCCGCCGCAGCAACTCTCGAGCAGCGGTGCATCTTCCCTGCGACGCGTTCTGACCCACGCGAATATCGCTCCTGCGGACATAGATCCACATCCTTTACACTAAGGTGAGTGAATGTTTTGTATGGGAATTTTTTGGTTCTAAATTTTAGTGGGTATTTGGACTGTTTGTGTAAAATCGTATTTCTGTAAATTTGAGGTTTTTGGAATATTTGTTATGAAATTGTATATCTGAAATTTGGAGATTCTTGGGACTGTTTTATGAATTTGTGTTGCTTTATTTGGGCGTTTTGATTTTGGTTCAGGAAGTTTGTCATTCGTACATCACCGACGAGTCTGCCCACATAAAAAAGTCTCATTTGGTTGAAATTGAAATAACTTTAAAAAAGCAACTTATTTTGTATTATTCTTAAAAATACTACGCTTTTGCTGTAAAAACCCTCAAAATTTTACGAAGAGTCACTGGAGGTAAATTCTCTTTCGACGGCATTTTCGTTTCCTCCCTATTTTTCGTTGTTCCTTATGTTTTTTCTCTCGCTTCTTCTGTTATAGCGTGTGATGACGGTAAAATGGGTTTTTTTTAAGAATATTTTGCTCAGTCATTCTCTTGTGTCGACAGTGGAGGTCATTTGCATAAAGCCGTCGCCCCTTGAAACCCAAAGATGGTGAAGAGGAGCAAAAGTAAGTGGGTTCTATCTATATAATTTTGGAAGCCAACGTACGTTCTTCAATTTTTTGCAGCATGAATTTGTATGATTTTTCTTCTTTAACATATTTTGTTCCTTGTAGAGAGTAAAAGCAAGCGGGTTACTTTGAAGAAGAAGTACAAGATCATTAGGAAGGTGAAGGAGCATCACAAGAAGAAGGCAAAGGAAGCTAAAAAGCTAAGCTTCAAGGGCAAGAGCAAGGTTGAGAAGGACCCAGGTATTCCTAATGATTGGCCCTTCAAGGAACAGGAGCTCAAGGCTCTTGAAGCTCGTCGGGCCCGTGCTCTTGATGAGATGGAACAAAAGAAAGCAGCTCGGAAGGAGAGGGTATAACAATTTTTACTACTTTTTATCAAGGATGTTTCTAGATTTTTTATGTATGTATATATTTATGTGCCTGTGAATGCAAGGCTGCATTCTGATACTCCATTAACATTACATTGTTGTTGTAGCAATTTACTGGTAACTTAACTGTTTCATTCTTGTCCAGGCTCAGAAAAGAAAGTTGGGGTTGCTAGGTGATGATAATATTACTTCTGCAGAACAAAGTTTAGGAAAGATGAAGGATGGAAATGACTCTGCTGCACCTGCACGGAATCGTGGTAGGTTGTTTTCTAAGAAGAGTTTAGATTCAAAAAAAGGAGACAACAAATTGGGATCTTCATATTGATGTTGGAAACTTGGGTTTCTCACGTCTGACTATATATATGCAGATAACTCAGATAGGGCTTTCTACAAGGAGTTGGTCAAAGTTATTGAGGCATCAGATGTTATTTTAGAAGTCTTGGATGCACGAGATCCCCTTGGCACGCGTTGTATTGATATGGAGAAGATGGTAATGAAAGCGGGTCCTGATAAGCATCTTGTACTACTTCTGAATAAAATTGGTAATTTCTTCCCCTTGTGTCAAAGTTTTGTTGACTAGGGAAGATGAACGTACACATGGAAAATAGATGCCATACAACACTGCCGTATTGATTCATTATTTCCTCAAGAAGTTGAGACATGGACATGATTGAGACATTTTTTACTACAATTTAATTATATATCTAAACACATTTCCAAAGCTTCATTCTCATACGAAAGCATTTTAAATTATAAAAATTAAAAACCACCTATTAAAGTTTAATATGAAAGAATAGATAATGAATGTAAATTTTAAGAAGTTGAAGATGACCATATATTCCATATCTTTAAATGATGCAATCTTTTAAGTTATAACAAAGCATTAAGGTAATCAATAGTTTTCTTATAAGAAAAATAAAAGAAGGTCAAATGTTCGTATGTTATATACTTAAAAGTGATTTCAGTGTTTTTCTTGTAAATGCCATTGTGTCCCTTATATATTTTTGTTGCCAATGTGTGTCCGATTATGTTACATTGTGTCCAAAACCAGAAAAAAGAAATGTAATACTCTAATTTTTGTGTTTGACATGTTTCAAGATTAGAGGAGTTGAGTTGTTAAATGATCCCAAAAAAGAAATAAAAAAGATTAGAGGTGTTTAATGCTTTTTGGTAACTTATAAGTTAACCAAATTAAAGTGTTTGCACCTTTTAGTTTAAGCTTGATCTGCTCTTCATAAGATGGAGTCAATGACAAGCTATTTCTAGTTAGATATCCTCTTTAAGGTGATGGATTGATTAGTCATGTGAGGCCCAAGAAGTTGCATAACTTATATATGTATTTATTTATATATTTTTCATAACAGATCTTGTTCCTCGAGAGGCTGTTGAGAAGTGGCTCAATTATCTTAGAGAAGAATTGCCTGCTGTTGCCTTCAAGTGTAGCACGCAAGAGCAGAGGTCCAACTTAGGTTGGAAATCTTCTTCAAAGATATCCAAAACAAAAACAAGCAATTTATTGCAGAGAAGTGACTGCCTTGGAGCTGACACTCTTATTAAACTGTTGAAGAATTATTCAAGAAGTTATGAGGTACTTCTAGTGTTTTTGGGAGTTCTATAAAAGATTTTACACTTTCCAACTGACCATTCTGATTTTTTTTCTTAGTGTTGCTTTTTGTGCCTTTGAAAGCCTGAAATTTTCAATCATCCCACTCTGATTTGAGGCTTGTTTGTGGATATATATGCCCTGGCTGACCGTATTCCCTTTTGCTCCATATGAGTAGTTTTCTAGCATGCATTTTTTAAAGCTATCTCCTGATAAATTTACTTCCATTTGGCAGATCAAAAAATCAATTACTGTTGGTGTTATTGGCTTGCCTAATGTTGGCAAGAGCAGTCTTATTAATAGTTTGAAAAGATCCCATGTTGTCAATGTTGGTGCAACGCCGGGATTAACAAGATCAATGCAAGAGGTTCATCTAGACAAAAATGTCAAATTGTTGGATTGTCCTGGTGTTGTAATGCTAAGAACTAAAGAGAATGAGCCATCTATAGCTCTTCGGAATTGCAAAAGAATAGAGAAGTTGGAAGATCCCGTTGCTCCCGGTAAGTTAAGCATGTTCTTCATTAAGCAACTTGTTCCAATATTTTTTATTTATATTTATTTTGAAATGTTGTAACTTCTTTCCATGTCATTGTGTTTTAGTATTCTAAAGTTTATTTACCACTTTTGGATATCATAGTTAAGGAGATCTTGAAGCTTTGCCCTCCCACAACGTTGGTAACTTTGTATAAAATGCCAAGCTTCGACACGGTCGATGATTTTCTGCAGAAGGTAGCTATTGTCCGGGGCAAACTTAAGAAGGGTGGTATTGTGGATGTTGAAGCTGCGGCTAGAATTGTTCTGCACGATTGGAACGAAGGTATTTATACTGATCTATTTTTCAATAGTATTTTATTACATTCTTTTAAAACAATAACTTTCTGGACTTCCCATGGTATATGATAATTGCAAAATAAGTGAGACTTCCTACAGAGATCACTAAGAACTACTTCTGTCGGCCTTATTAATACAAGGCATGATGCAAAAGGATTTTCTAGAACACATGAAAGAAATAAATCAACACCTCTTTTTTCCTTTTTTTTTTAAGTTTAGGACAAAAGAACACGACAAGCTGCCATACAAAATGTAAATACGTTTTCCAGTGTGTGATTTCAGTATGTTGCTTGCTTTGATGTCAGGTAAAATTCCATATTACACAATGCCTCCTGTTAGGAGTCAGGTAGAACCTTCAGAGGCGAGGATTGTCTCAGAGCTCGGGAAAGAGTTCAACATCAAAGAAGTTTATAGCGGTGAATCTTCATTCATTGGTAGCCTCAAATCTGTCGATGATTTCAATCCTGTTGAAGTTCCTCCAAGTTGTCCACTCAATTTTGATGATAGTATGCAAGAGCAAGAGGTATCTCTTTTTTTGTTCTCTTCACATCTATTTATTTATTATTATTTTTATATATATAGTTAATAGCCATTTGACACTTCTGAGTTCTCTGCAACTAGTTGGATGTATAGAGCATTTAACTGATATTATGTGTATATATATTTCATATCTGTGCAACTAATTAGGTATTTAGCCGCCTTAAACGTAATAGGGTCCGGTGGTTCTCCTACGAGAGAGGGGCATGCAATCTTTATAGGTGTGCTTGCTTGGGTGCACTCCTCAAAAATTGCCCCTAGGTGCCTTGCTTCTCGAGGTGCCCTTAATGAGGTGCACTTGAGGCGTGTCTCAGTGCCTGAGCCCAGTTTTTTTATTTATGTTTTAAACTTTTAACTTTTGAGGAAGAAGCTATTAAATCTTCTTAAAAAATGTTCTAACCGGGTCTAATTTCTTAGAACTTTTCATTATCTTATTATTCATAATGCTATTTTTTTACATATATAATTTTTTTAATACTTCTCTATTGTGCGCCTCGCTTTTTTCCGCCTTGCGCTTTAGTTTGTTGAAGACACTAGAAGTATATGTTTTTAGAGATCACGTGATCATATGCTTCAATAAGATCTCTTTTAAGAAAAATTATAATTTTTGGGTTGAGATTTGCATCATGTTCAAAGTTCTGTCTTCGATTTTCTGTTATTTACATGTGGGAACATATACTTTTCTGCAATGCAGAAAGACAATGCTGAACCATCTAAGCAAAACGACGAAGTCCTGGAGAACGTGTCGGATAATAGCGAGGACGAGTCGATGGGGCAGGAAGAAGACGAGGAGAACGACGAAGGCAAACCCAAGGGACAGGATGCAACGAGCAGGCAAAACGAGAAGCTGTATGCAGCAGAAGGTATTCTGAATACAAAAATGAGGAGAGCAGAGAAGAAGAGAAGGAAAAAAGCTAACAATAACAGTAAATCATCGGATGCCATGGAAGATGATGACTATGATTTTAAAGTAGATTTCAAAAAGAAGTGAATCCATCTCCCAACAGAGAACAATAAATCATAATCAGAGATTCAGATTGGCTACGGCTGCCATGGAAATCAAAGCATATGCTCGTGGCTGTAAATTCCAAGTTTTGTGATATGCTATTTAAATGCAGTTCTTAGAATTTATGGCCTCTTAATGTGAGGAAATTTTGACTAGTGATATGTTTTTTTTTAAAATTTTTTTTATCTGTACGATTGAAGAAGCATATTTGAAACAGTTTTGTATGGAATTATAGAATCTTAGTTTTGGATTTGGATGCTTCTTTTTGAGGTATCTATAAACGAATATTATATTATTTGAACCCATGATTTCAAGGTTGCAACTTTCTATTCATTTCTGAGAAATGAATATTGTATCACAATCGTTTAGGGCTCTTGATAACTATTTTTGTTTATAGTTTGTAGTTTTCTGTTTTAAAATAAATAAAAATTTAAATATATTTGGTAATCAGTTTTAGTTTTCTATTTTGAAAAAGTTAAGAAAATTGAAAATTCCCATTCTCGAGTTCTTTGATTTGGGAATTGTAGGAAAAATTATTAGTTTTATAATTAATTTTAATTAGTTTTTAAATTTTAAAAATGAAAAAGTGTAATAAATATATACTAATTATTTTTAGAATTATTATTGTCAATAAATATGTATTAATTATTTAAAAATGGAACTGGGGAGCTTAAATATAGCTCAACCTAATTGGCATGTGATTCTCTCGACATTAATTTATAACATGTGAGAGTTGAGATTTGAATTTATGACATTTTGGTTAGAAATAACGTTTTAACTAGTTGAACCAAGTTCGAGTTGACAATTTCTTACTTATGTTGAATAGTTTAATGATACTTAAGTCTTATAATAACAAAATTTAACAAATTCGTTTGTAGAATGACCTAACTAAAAACTTTTAATACATTAGGGATAAAATGGAGAACCTTACTAGATTGGATTTAGAATTTACTCAAAAGGAAGATGTGATCTTGAAAGGGGAAATTATATTTAGTTGACAACAAAATAATTTTATTATAATATTTGCATCACATGTTTATACGTCTGTGTTTTGACATCCATGGAAAAAGTAAATTGATATTAAAAAAAATTATTAATACGAAAATATAATAAATGCCTTGACAATTAAAATATTTACTCTATGTTCTAGAAACGCTATTGTACATAAAATTCAGACAACTTGTACATTATTTAGGCAAAATTGGAAAAAAAAGTACCCCTTAAATTTGCCATATGTATAAAAATTTCCCATGATTTTAAAAGTTTCAACCTAAGGATGTTCGTAGGACAAGGCGGGATGGGGAAACCCATCCCCGCCCTCCATTTAATTCTCCATCCCCACAAAATTTCTAGAGGATGAGGTGGGGATTCCTCGTGGAGAATTCATGGGGATCGAGTTTCCTATGAGGATTTTCCCCGTTTATTCTTCTACTTTAAAATTATTTTTCTTAAGAAAATTTCTAATTAATTAATTAATTAATTTCCAACTATAAAAACTTTACTTACATGGTCTAATCCTCCTCTATATATTCGGTGGGTAGAGAAGAATATGATTAGTATAGGTAAATATAGGAAGAATAATAAGATTTTTTAGTGTATATATATATTAAAAAAATGCGAGGCGTGGTGGGGAATGGGGATGAGGGATGCATTCCCCGGGGACGGGAAAAAACTTTCCTCATCCCCACCCCGGGAGGAATTTAAACGGGGATTCCCCACCCCATTTAGGTAGATCCCTACGAGGACGGGTCCCGTGGAGAAAATGAACCTCCCTAGTTTCAATACTATCTTTGTCATTTCATAAATGTTTAAAAAATATCTTTTAGACAAACATTCGTTAATATTTTGAACGAAAAATTGACGTAGTAGAATTCGAAAACAATGGGGTAATTAATGAAAGTTTGCTTGGAAAAGTTAAATGTCACCACAACAAATTTGACCTTTAATATGGTCAATTGTGGATTCATCATTGTAAATCCATGAACTTTTTTTACGTCATTAAATATCAGATTTATCGTATACCAGGTTGCAACAAGCTTTCATGAATGACCATGTCATTACAAAATCTGGCACATGTATTTTTTTTTAAAAACAGGTGAAGGGTAAACTCTTGAAATGGTAGGTATATTTTTTAACCAGAGAACAAATTTTAGGGTTTTTTTATTTGTAATTTAGGCCATTATTTAGGAAAATGGACCAAAATGACCAAAATTGTTTTTGTGTTTAGGAAATTGACCCAAAGTTCAAAAGCTATTTTTTCTAACCTAAAAAAGTGTTTTTTTAAAAGTCAGAAATGTGAATAGACAATTATGCCTCCCATGCCACTCTGTCTTTGGTTCTTGCGTTTTCAAACTTGGGAAGTGTTGGAATCTTTTTGTTCGACTCTCACATAGTATTTTAATCGTTTTCTGAATCTGAAGTTCGAATCTTCGAATTCAGTGTTAAGAATCATACATCGAAATGATCAAGCAACCTAACAAGTTTTATAACATATATGTATGATCTATTCTTCCGTTCTTTGAATTTTTGATTTTCCAGCGAATTAGAGGGATAGTTTCCAACATAGGAGGAGGACGTTTCATAACTTTCCTATATATATATTATTTGTTATTTTGCTTCAAGTATGCCCTGCCACTAGCAATATTATTTGTTATTTTTAAAAATAAAGTTATCTTTGGCTCAATGACTTAAAATGTAACCTGCCCCTAGCAATTTTGCATCTCTTCGCGATGCAAAATAATTCTCTTTTATCTTTGCTAACATGCCAGAAAATTTTCTCCATTCTAACTTATCCAGGAAAGAACTCGCAAGAGCGAAAAAAAGACAAAAAAAAAAAAAAAAATCTTTTAGGACCGTTTGTTTTTGGGAATACAGAAGTTTCAGATGCCTGTAATTTCAGATTCCTGATATTTTTAGATGGTTATAAGGATGCCCGAGAATATTTGGATAACCATGTTTGTTTTGTAGGATTTATTCGATCTAAATTAATATAATGTTCCAAAAACATCTTTATAAATATTTATATAATTTATACATTAATCTAATATAATTTACATTTATATAATAGATTTTCATAAAATTAATTTAAAATTTTAGATTTTTATATTAATTACGTATATGTATTAATTTTTGTACGTTATTAGATAGAATTCATATTAATATAATTTTTTTTAAAGAAATAATTAGTATTGAATATAAATTTCATTTTCAAACTTTAGTATTTTTTAAAAAATACAATTATATAATCAATGTTATATGTTATATGTGGTAAAATCTATTTATTATATTATTAAATTATATTTCTTTAGGAAGAAAAATATAAAAAGTAGGCTGATTGTTAAAAAAGGTTAAAATTAAATGATAATATTATATGATTTAATTGAATTTTTATTTTATATGTATATATAATACATGAATATACTCAATTGAAGAAATAACTGAGGGTAAAAATATTTGTCATAGATATAGGAATTATGGAAATCCATGTTTCAAAAGAGCATCCAAATCGATTCGGATGTTTTCCAGACATCCTACCATATTCGAACATCCCGAAATACCTGATATCTTACGTTATAACAAAACAAAAGTGAAAATCCAAGTACGGGTAACACGAGGATCCAGATTCCCACGCTTAATTCACAGTTTTAGTCGTTTCCACGTTCCGAAGCTTCCAATGGCTTCCTCTTCTTTCTGCTTCCTCCATTGCCAGACACGTACAGTGGACACCAGTCCTCATGCATGGCGCCGCACCTCCACCCCTTCTCATCTATATGTATCCCCATTCTTTTCATCTTCTCCGCTGCGAAAATGGCTCCCAAAATCAAGCTCTCTCTGCCGCTGCTGCTCCTCCTCGTCCTCTCTGTCGCCGTGCTGGCCGGCAAGGACCCGGACCTGAAGCAGTGCCGGAGCCAGTGCAAACTCAAGCTGGAGATCGCCGAGAGACAGAGACGAGACTGCGAGAAAAGGTGCGAAGAAACGAAGAAGAAGAAGAAGAAGAAGGAGAAGGAGAACGAAGGAGGAAGAACCAACCAGATTTCAGAAGTAGAAGGAGAAGAAACAGAGTATGAGGAGAGAGAGAAAGAGGAGGAGAATCCGTATGTGTTCGACAACGAACATTTCAAAGCTAGGATTGAAACCGAGGAAGGCACGGTTAGGGTTCTTCCCAAATTCACCCAGAAATCCCAACTTCTCCGCGGGATTGAGAACTTCCGGATCTCGATTCTCGAAGCCAATCANCCTGAAGCAGTGCCGGAGCCAGTGCAAACTCAAGCGGGAGACCGCCGAGACACAGAAGCGAGACTGCGAGAAAAGGTGCGAAGAAACGAAGAAGAAGAAGAAGAAGAAGGAGAAGGAGAACGAAGGAGGAAGAACCAACCAGATTTCAGAAGTAGAAGGAGAAGAAACAGAGTATGAGGAGAGAGAGAAAGAGGAGGAGAATCCGTATGTGTTCGACAACGAACATTTCAAAGCTAGGATTGAAACCGAGGAAGGCACGGTTAGGGTTCTTCCCAAATTCACCCAGAAATCCCAACTTCTCCGCGGGATTGAGAACTTCCGGATCTCGATTCTCGAAGCCAATCACTCGACCTTCGTGGCTCCCAGCCATTTCGATGCCGAGATTATTCTGTTCGTTGCTCAGGGTATGTTGTGTGATTTCTGCCTTCTTGGGTGTCGAATTGTTGCGCGGAAGGTGTTTGTGAAAATGATTCTTTGGGGATTTTTGGTGCAGGGCGGGCTACGGTTACCGTTATCAGGGAGAGGAGAGCGAGCTTCGAACTGCAACCTGGAGATGTCTTCAGAGTTCCATCTGGAGCTCCGTTTTATTTGATAAACAAGGACGAACGTGAGAAACTGAGGATTTTTAATCTTCTTCAAGCCACCTCCATTCCTGGACAACTTGAGGTAGCCAAAGCTTTTCTGTGCATTGGTCTTTATACGTCTTTTTATTACTTTGAAGGTTAAGTTATGAATTAATTTGGTCCTGTGACTTGGATATAATTTTGGACATAATTGTAGGGACAATCGACAAATTGGAAGTATCCTCAAACAATAGGGACAGATTTTTGTAACTTAATCAAATTCTAAATTATGGGGTCAACTTCTATTTCATGTGAATGAATATTTAGAATTTGGGCAGGTTTTTCATGGGCCAGGTGGAGAAGACCCAGAATCATTCTACACAGCATTCAGCTGGGAGTTGCTTGAAGCAGCCTTGAAGGTAATCAAAATTCTTTTTCCAAACTGTGTAAACAGTGCGCCTGTCATACATTTTCCCTCATACTTTCTCGGCTGCCAAACAGGTTCCAAGAGACGAGCTGGAGAGATTTTTCAAGCAACAAAAAGGAGGGGCCATTATGAAGGCTTCTAGAGAACAGATCCAATCACTTAGCCAACACGAAGAGATCATCCCAAGGATCTGGCCCTTCTCAGAAGGCAAAACCGAGCGCCCATTCAATCTATTCAAGCAAAGTCCATGGCAGTCGAACAAGTTCGGTCACTTCCACATAGGCCACCCTCACGAGTTCAGCCAGCTCCAAGACCTCGGCATTGCCATCTCCTTTGCCGACTTCACAGAAGTAATTACCTGTTCCCTCTCATTTGAAATGCTGGATATATTTTTTATCTTCTAAATATTTGTTAAATTACAAAGTTGCTGAAACTTTACGGCCTATTAGTCTTCATAGACCCTTTTGAAGTATTATGAAATCTGACTATTCTAGAGAAGGGAAGAAAGTTTCTGATTCTTCTTATTCTCCTAAATTTGCATCACACGATACTGATAATGAGTGAGTCATGAGTGAGTGAGTAGACATTTAGAAGAATCTAAGTCATATCTTCCCTTCAAAAATTCAGAAGAATTAGGTCAATATCCCCCCTCCAAATTGGCAGAATTTGACTTTGGAACTCACTCACTAATTATAACTATAATCATCATATCATATTTATGAAAAATGTCAAAACATAATTGAAAAAAATCTGAGATTAAGAATTTGAAATCACGAAAATCATAAAACAAATTATTATTCAGCAGCTGAGCTTATTTTTGCTGTGTGTTTTTGGGAGGGTTCAATGATGGCTCCCCACTACAACTCCAAAGCTATGACGATAGGGGTGGTGGTAGACGGTGGAGGGGGGTTTCAAATGGCGTGTCCCCACCTTGGGCGCCGTGGACAGAGGGGTGAGTCCAGTTACCAGAAAATAAGAGGGGTGCTGAGACGTGATGTGGTGATCATAGCTCCAGCAGGGCATCCATTTTCAATCTTCGCTTCACCGGGACATGGTCTCCGGATCGTCTTCTTTGAAATCAATGCCGATGGCAATATCAAGTATCTTCTTGCAGGTAAAAACGACTACACCATAAAACCATCCAACAAAGTTTTTTTTAAACCCAATGTAGCCTAAAATAGACTGAAAAAACTGCAGGGAAAGAGAACATAGTAAACAAGATGGAGAGAATAGCAAGAGGGTTGGGATTCGGCACAGCAGGAAAAGAGGTGAAGAGGATCTTCAGACATCAAGAGGAGGAGTTTTTCTTCCCAGGGCCGACCCAGCTGCAGGAAGAACGTGGTCAACATCAATGGGCTGATGCCTGAGTGAGGAACAACCCAAGAGACAAGTGTTAAATAAACGGGTATGGTACAGTTTAAATTTACTACTCCTAGGCTCTACTCCCTTGTACAGTGTACAGATTACAGACTTTGCATAAATAAAGATGAGTTGGGGTTTGCGTAGATGAATGAATCAGGGTTTAAGTTTTGTTTTGGCGTCGATTACATTTAATTTTGAGAAAAGAGATGAACAGTGCCCCTACTTTCAGGGGCTAGTTTGCTTCGTTTCTGGTTGACTTTTTTAATTTCGAGTGGTTGGTAGTGCTGAGGTGGTGAGAGGTTGAAGAAGATTGGTTCAGAAAACAATAAAATCATAATCAGAGATTCTCAGATTGGCTGCGGCTGCTATGGAAACCAAAGCTTATGCTCATGGCTGTAAATTCCAAGTTTTGTGATATGTCCATGAGGAAATTTTGACTGGTGATATGTTTTTTATTTTTATCTGTACGAGTGAAAAAGCATATTTGAAACAGTTTTGTGTTGAATTGGAACCAAATTACAGGATCTTAGTTTTGGATTTGGATAATATTATATCATAATTGCTCAGTTATGTTGAATAGCTTAATGATGCACAAGTTTTATGATAATAAAATTTAAAAGATTCGTTCATAGATAAGTAACAATTTATGGGTTCTCGAGTTGGTGTTTGAAGTTTCAAAATGTACATCCTAAATGGTGTTCTAAATGGCCTGTTAGTTCTTTTCCAATGTTATCGCCGTCGTCAGTTGCTGTCATAATCATTTGTGATTTTCTCTCCTCTCTTCTCCAATGTTATCGCCATCCATCGCTCCATGTTTGTTAGTTGCCAAATGACCATTTATAATTATTTCTCAAATTTCAATAATTAAAAATGTCCATTTTAAAATTTCAGAACAGTCCATTTTGAGTTAGAGGTATAAAATGTTTCAGAAATATTATTCTACGTAAAATTCAGACCACTTGCACATTATTCAAGCTAAATTAAACAAAGTACCCTTCAAGTTTGCCATATGTTTCAAAAACATATTCCAATCATTTAAGAGTTCAATATTATCATTGGCCTTTTATAAATGTTTTAAAAAATATTATTTGGGCAAACGTCCGTTAATATTTTGAACAAAATTGATGTGTCAGAATCTGAAACGACGTGGTAATTAATCAAAGCTTACTTGGAAAAAATTAAGTGTAACTACAACAAATTTGATGTTAAATATGGTCAATGGGTCTGCATTATGGTCAATGGGTCTGCATTGTAAACCGGTGAACTTTTTTCATCATCATTAAAGATCATATTTGTCGAAGTGCTAGGTTTCCAACAAGTTTTCATTAATTACCACGTCAAATTTTCGTTCAAAATATTAATGGATAATTGTTCAAAGAGTATTTTTTTTAAACCAGTCAAAGGTATTATTGAAACTTTTGAAATGATAGAGATACTTATGTATTTTTTAGTAATTTAAACCATTATTTAGGAAAAGGGGCCAAAATGGGGTTTAAGAAATTGACCCAAAGTTTAAAAACTATATTTTCTAACTCAAAAAAATTGTTTTTTTTGGAAAGTCAAGAAATATTAAGGGACAATTATACCCATGTTTTAAATGAAACCATGAGGCCTTTCCTTTTACTATTACATTCTCAAACTTAGGGAAAAATAACTATTGGAATTTTTTGCTCTCAAAATTTGACTCTCGCGTGAAATTTCAATCGTTTTATTAGATTTGAAGTTTGAATCTTCGAGGTCAGAGTTAAAGAATTCTACATCAAAAGATAAAGAGACTTAACAAGGTTTATAAGATACATGCATGAGTTATTTATCTCATTATCAATTGGTTTTGAAATGAAATCTCATAAATACTAAGATGATGTCGTAGCTCAACAAGCTCAGATGAGCATCCGGTCTCACAAAGTTTCTAAGATACAAATGATATGAATCTCCTGCATATTCAAATGAAATACAAGTCAACTCAAGCTTCATTAAAGACAAAAGTATCAATTATGGACTTCAAGTTCATGCTATATTAAATAAGGCTTCATTTAATCCTGTTACAAAACTATTGGTTTGATGATTTGATCTTTAATTTTCGGATTTATGGTGTATTTTAATGTATTTTAAGTTTTAAGACTTTTCATTTACATTTTAAATTACAATTAATTAATGGTTGTTTATGGCATTGAATGACTTAAGTGTTCCAACCCTTCAAATGCCATATATTACTTTCTATTTTGAAGGCTATATATAGCCATGTATGTTAGCTTTAAGAATATAGAATATAGAATTAAGATGTAATGAAATGAACATTTGAACATTTCTTTTAGTCAAGAGCTAATGTATTTTGCAATCTAGTGATAGCTTACATGTTTAGGATCATTCAAGTGAGAATTGATCTATCTTGCTTGTGGAGTGATTCGGATCTCAAACAAGGAGCAAATTTTCTTGCCTTGAGATATTTGATCAACAAGGCAATCCGATTTTTACTTTCCTTGGATTGATTCCACAATCGTTTTCGGGGTTTTTTGGATTGAGTTCTATTGGTCTTGTTTGTTAGCAAGGTTCTTAGATCCAACTCTCAAAGGTTTCTTAACATTTTGGTATCAGAGCATTAGGTTCTTTGATTGAATATATATTTCCTTGCGCTTATCTCTTTGAATTCCTTCTTATATTTGCTTAAGTTTGATTAGATATAAGCATATTAGCATTTTGTCTAAAAGTACACAAAAAAAAGTATCAATTCCGTTCATCTTTTCCAATTTTTGTCTTCCGCATTCTTATAGATCTGGGTCTGATCTAAAAATTTGTCTTCTTTGAAGTCTTCTAATTCGACTTGCTTAGTGGTGAAAAAACAAAATGCTGAACGTGAAAGCATTTATTCTTTAAGTTATTGTGCTTTTGCTATTCCATAGCTGATAAAAAAAAGTACCCCATTTGTCATTCCTTGATCGTTACACTTTTAATTGGTTTGCGGGCCTTGCATTGAGTTCTCATTCTTAATTTTGCCACTTCATTGTTGTTTAATTACCAACCATATTTATCTTTAACTTTGCTTTCATTTCTTCCAAGCTTCCATCCTAATTTTGTCAATTATTTATTTATTTTTCTTAACTTAGTTTCTTTGTTGTTATTCGGATTACTTCTACAATCACACTATTGTTTGAATTCTTATATACTGTCTAAACCACTTGAAATGCACATAGCTCTTTGACTTCGTTAGACTCACTTATCGATTTGTTTGATGTGTGTAAGAGTGTACTCAGTCGTGAGAAAGTGATACATTATTTTGAGTGTTGAGTGTTAAACACGAGTGAGCTTCATTAACGAGTGGAATAGTATGGGAGTGCTTGTGAGGTCCATTTTTCTTTGTTTCTTTAACTTTGTTTTGCAGCCATTGTTTCACACTGGACGTTCACAGAAATCGAAGTTCCACAATAGCTGAAGATATCATGATAACCACCATGGTGAAGATCCATATACGAAGGAATTGGTCGGGATTCGCAAAATCATAAATTACCTCAATGAATTGTGCCAAGAGTTCAAAATGCGATACGAAGACATGAAGAGGCATGTTGCAAAATCGGTTAAAAAATAGGAATATTGTCCTATGCTTCAAGAGGATAATCAACAAATTCCAAATGAGGGAGAAAATCAAGATGTCATTGAAGATACGAATGTTGAGACTGTTATGCATGCCCAACAAGAAGATTTTAATATTGATGTTATTTGTGATGCTAAAGAAGATGTGCATGTTGAGGTTTTGATGCATGATGAGTATACAACCAAAGCGGAGGTACTTGTTGAGAACGCGATCGATATTACAAATATTGTGCCAATCGAGGATTGTAAGAAAAGCAAGCAATTGCAAAATGAGGACCTTGGCAACATTGAGAAGCAACATTCACTCATTGCTTCAAAGCCCTTGGAGAATCAAATACCATGGACTCATGGTCGAGTGTATTGGGTATTTAAACAAAGAATTTGGAATGGGACTGCAAGGTTTTCATTTACAAGCGACAAGATTATCATACAAATTGATTATCCTATCAACATGTTTGAACAAGCTCCAGATGTTGAGTACAAGGTTGAGTTGCAAGAAGATGTTTTTGATTCGAGGACAAATTCTTCTGAAGATAGAGAGGATGATATGAACCAAGGAGCTCTCTTTGTTATGCCTCATCAACCGATTACAATATCAAGAGATATGAAACTTCAACAATTCACATTTGTAAATGTTTTTAAGGTAAATCAAAGTCAACTTGGTCAAGGTCAAAGTCAGCTCTATCAAGACAAGTCAAAGTCAGCTCCATCAAGACAAGTCAAAGTCAACTCATTCAATTCAAAAACCAAGTAAACACTCACATCCCTCATTATGGACGGGATTGCATTTATTTTGGTTTGCTTTCCATGTTCTTAACCTTTTCATTCATCTAAGTTATGACTTTTCTCATTTGCAAGCCTTTTCATTTCTTGTAGGTTATGTCTTTACATTTACATGTCTTTTCATTTCTTATAAGTTATGAGTCTTTCCATTTTCTTAAGACATTTCATATGACTTGCTAGGATGACTATATATAGTCTTGAGATGTCTTGTTGTAAACACAATTTGAAGTTTAATGAAAAGTGAGTTTTCTCATTAGCTTGGTTGAGAGCTTTATCTCCCATTTTTTGTGCAATTTATTGTGTCTTTAGAATTTGCATGTTAGGATCATTCAAGTAGTGCTGATCATACTTCTTGTGGAGTGATTCGAATCACGAGTTTAGAAACGAGTTTTCTCTATTCTTGATATTGATCATCAAGGTAATCCTATCTTAAACTTTTCCTTGGGTTGACTCCATACTTATTTTTGGGGTTTTTGGGATTGAGTTCTATGAGTCTTGTTCGTTAGCAAGGTTCTTAGATCCAATTCTCAAGGGTTTCTTAATACATTGACTGCTAATCTCATTATCAATTAGTTTTGAAATGAAACTTCATAAATATTGAGATTATTCACTTTTTTTTTTTTATAGTTTTATACTTTTTTCGTGCTTCTAAGGCTAGATATTTTATTTTTCCAACTAATAGAGTGATAGTTTCCAACGATTATATAGTCATCTTTAGTTGAAAGCTTATTGGGGTTAAGGTTTCGTCGGTTTCGAGAAAAAGGGAAAAGATTGATTTCGATTTGTAAAGACTAAAGAGATATTTGATTTTTTTCACGAAAACTTGGGCGTGTTTTGCTCGAAAAATAAAATAGTGAGCAAAAATAGAGGCAAAAACTAGGATGAGATCGAAGAAAACTCACCCGACTAGTATGAAATTTGAGTAGAACCATAGGTTCAGGGCAAGTTTTCATGACTTTGAAGATGTAAATCTTAGGCAAAGTTGAAGTTTGTATTATTTGTTATTTTTTATAAAATAAAGTTCTCCTTGACTCGATGACTTCAAATGTGCCCTCCTGCCCACGACGGCGATTTACATTTGTTTTTTTAGTACAAGTATATTGGGGAGGATATACAAATTCACAACCTGAAAGTGTATATCAATTAAGTGTATGTCAATTATTGGAGCTACGCTCGCTTTGGCTACTTCCATAGACATATCATAATATTTTTTTTGGGTTATTTGGTCAATTTACCAATTAAAATAATAATCTTCATTATAAGTTATAACTTATCCAGAATTAGA